GTTTAATAATTAATATTCAATTAAAGCCCTGTTTAGTACACATTATTTTTTTCATTCTCATTCTTCTACTCATTTTCAACCACACATTCTTCAATAAAATAATATTTTTCATCACATCAATAATTTTTCTTTCATTTTCAACCACATATTCTCCATCACATCACTTCAAAAAAATACATTCTCTCACTTTAATGTGCACCAAACGGGTTCACACATGAATATTTGAACGTAAAAATCAACACATAATTTATATTCATTGAATATATACAAAATCACAAAATATAAAAAGGTATTCCTTATTTTTTGTCGAAAGTAGTGACACATTTAGTCCTTTATTTTGATTTGTCTAAAATTCAAGCATATCACATAAGAATTTTCTTACATCAAAGTAAGAATTTTATAATGTGTTTTGAAATTTCCATCCACAATAAAGCAAAAAGGGTAAGCATTCAAATTATTTTGGTTTGATCAGTGTAAATAAGTTTTTTTTTTTATAATTATTGAGATTTAAATTATTTTTAAATTTAAAATTATGGTAAAACTATCTAATTACTTATAGATAACTAGAGATAATAGTATTCTAGTAAAGTTAGTATATATATCCTCCATCACTATTGATTGTAACACACGTTACACACGTTAGAATGAGAATCCAAATTATATGCAGTGTTGTCAATTTATTTATTTATTTATGTCGAAGTCAATAATTATTTTGTGTAAAGGAGTTAGCAATCCAAGCTAATTTTAAGTTTATTTACAAAGTTTAATAATTGTGTTTTTTGTAATTTATGTTTGTTTCAAAAAAGAGGTATATGAAGTCGGTTCATCACGATTGAGTCTTTTTTTTTCGTGTATCCCTATTAACTTCAGCAAATGGTGAAGGATGTGCACTCAAATTCAAGATAAAACAATTTTCAATATGTCTATACTTTGCAATGACTGTTAACAAACAATACCTATTGTTGGAGTATCCCTTCATGAGTATGTATTCTCTCATGCACTTTCTCGTTAAGTTTCAATGCAAACAAGGAAAAAGGAAAATTGTAGCACGTCGACAAAAAATATTGTATAGGAAGAAGTGTTATTGTAATCAAAACATTACATTTCAGTTTTTTCGACATTTTCAATGCACAATAGCATGAAAAGTTTTATTCATACTTTTTAACAATTTTAATTTTTTCTTTAATAAACCTACTTTAATTACTTTCAAAACCAGTATTAGAAGTTCAAAAATGTTACGCATATAATTTATCCGATACATAAGACGTACAACACACGTGCTCACGGCTAGTAAGAATGAAAAGGATTCGTCGTCAAAATGGGAAAAAAATATAATACAAGTCATAATTCTAATTGGACTTTTATTCCAACCCCTCTTCGAGTTGGTGTATAGATCCATGCAAAACTTGAAAAATGATGTATAAAATGTTCCACACTTTGAGCAATCATTGTCGAACTCAGATGGCAATTCTAACCGGTGAAAGCCTCCCATTTCTACGAGTTCCAATCGATATACTTCTTATACTCTTCGTAAGTTATCATTTAAAACATTTTTTGAATTTTTATACTATTACAAGCTGATAAGTTACTTTTTAAATGTTATTTTTTATTCCTGATGCAATTTTCA